TTTTTTTATTAATGTGCATTTATTGAACTTTTGTAAATTACAATTTTGACCTATAAACCTAATTGTAATATTTATTATTGATATTATGAAAATATATTTAGTATATTAATATTTTAATTCAACATTTTATATTAATTTTTGTTGAAAACATATAATATATGTATGTATAAAAAAAATTGTATGTAAAAATATTAATGTGCAGTTCGCGTATCATTAAAGTGTAGTCCGTGTAACAATAATGTGCAGTCCGTGCATAATATTGTGCAATCTATTTTTTTATTAATGTGCATTTATTGAACTTTTGTAAATTGTAATTTTGACCTATAAACCTAATTGATTATTTATTATTTTTATAATTTAGTATTTTAATATTTTAATTCAACATTTTTTATTATTTTTTGTTGAAAACATATAATATACATACGTATAAAAAAAATTGTATGTAGAAATATTAATGCGCAGTTGGTGTAACAATAAAGTGCAGTGTGTGTAACAATAATGTGCAGCCCATGTATAATATTGTGCAATCCATTTTTTTTATTAATGTGCATTTATTGAACTTTTGTAAATCACAATTTTGACCTATAAACCTAATTGTAGTATAAGTACATTCTTTAAAATTGCATATTTATAATCATACACATTTAATGTGCATTTACTGTATGCAATTATTTTTATAATTGCATATTTACAATTAATGTGCATTTACTGTATTTTTATAATTTACAAATTTAACCCACAAACTTGATTGCAATATAATCAAAATTCATAAAATTGCAAATAAGCCCCTTATAATGATCTAATTTAGAAAATGAAGCCCTTTAATACAAAAATTCCAGCTTTTTGATACTCTCACACTATCCATCACTAAGAGCAGTGGAGAGTCGCCAACCGAAACCTCCACGTTCCGCAGCCGTTCGGGCCGCTGCAACTCTGGGAAAACCCGTGTCCGCCATCGATGGAGCTGAACAGAGTTTCATGCCGGACCACGACGACTGACCTGCCATCGTTCTGAATGTCGATCGGCAGCCACTTCTCGATTACATGTCTGCCATTTACCTGTCTGTTCAACGTTCATCGGTGTCGGGCACGTTCTCGCCGGGAGTCTGTTAAAGCTGAGGACGGATACCTTCATCGTGGATGTATGTTGTAGAGGAGCACAGCGGCATAGCTGGTGCCGCCGCTGCGAATGGTCCATCAGAGGCCCTCCGGCGGTCGAGGATGTTGCCGGCGGAGTTCGACTTCTCCGGTGGTTAAAGACAAAGCTTTAATTCCGTGTGGCGGCAAACACCGTCAATTGGTAGGCGCCGGCGAGAAAGGAGAAGAAACTGGTAGCGGAGGAACAATTTTTTTTATTTATTTTTTATTTTTTATTTTTTATTTTATTATTATTATTATTATTATTATTATTATTATTATTATTATTATTTGCAGTGGTGCGTGTTTTAATGTATGTGTGAGAAGAAGAGAGAGGGAGGGGAACAATTTTTTTGTTGTTGCAGAGATGTTTGTGTCAATGTGTGTGAGGGAGAGGGGGAGAG